ACAATAGCCTACATGAAGTATTAAACTATTGTGCTTGTTGTGCACATTGTTTTCCTGTATGGTTAGAGTGAGGGTGTACTTTTCCAGATATGGCTCTGATGAGTCATATCTGGAAACAGGAAGTACAAACCCACCACAAAATAGATGGCTCATCAGTGGTTACAGTTTTTTTTCTTCTTAAAATTAGGTTAAAGAACTTCAAGCATCAGCACCCATTTGTTTGTCCTAAAACAATTGTGCCTTGTGTAGGGTTTCATGCAGAATCCATGCACATACACAGTCAGGGTGCTCTGGAAAAGAACTGGAGGTTGTAAAACAAACAAAAAAACCAGTTGATCCCATTCAAGCAACCGTAGAAAACCTGATATAGAATATGGAATTGTAAACAGCATAAAGAACACTTCACAGAAAAACACTTCATTGTGGAGCCTGGTATTACATGACGATAACATGACAGCTGTGGGGAGAGAACACGATTGCTATGTAGTCATATATAAAACACTAAGAACAAAGAAAAACAGTTTAAATGGTAAATTGACCATTTTTTATATGTAACATTTACATTTAACCCTTATCTTCATGCTGATATTGCATGCAAATGAGCAACATTTCATCTTTTAAATACAATGCTACAAGCCTGGTAATCTGAGGGTAGGAGTCAAATCTTTACCTTGCACGCGCACACACACACACACACAAACACACACACAAAAACAAAACTGGGTAACAGCCAGGAACCTTGTGGTGTGGGTTTAAGGTGAAGGCTAGACTGGAGAAAAGAGCCAGGGTGCTCAGAATTACTGTAACAGAAGAAACAGGAGTCAAGGGGTGTTCCAGACACGGACAGAGGGTGAAACAGACAAATTGTGAACAGTCTGGGTTAGCAGTGAGTCAAGATTGGAGATCTGAGCTGTTCCAGTGAGTTGGGCAGGGAGGCAGGAAGGAGCATGAGCAGTGAAGCTGCCGAGCAGACCAGTGACTGAACAGAGATTTGGTTATTGGAAGTTAGAAGCTGGAGATCCAATAAACTGGAAGAAAACAGCGCTCACCCGGACCATGACAATTTGTATGCACAGAAAGATTTTTGAAAGACAAAAAGCTACAACTGAATAAATTGTGTATAAATGTATTGGATGTACACATTTGTAAAATAGCTGTACATGTAGTCATATTGCTTCAAATTTGTTTGTGGATTGGCGCATGCATTTGTTAGTACTCAAAAGTTACACACAAATTTACTGTACACGTTTGCAAAGATTATTTTAAGCTTATGGATCATATGGTATGCATTCATAGCCATTTTGGGGGTAAATATCTCTCCATAGTAATGTAGCATGGGGGACATGCAGGCTCAGCAAACACATGAATGTGGGGACATGTAGCTGCTGCACAGTGGAGTCTGGGTGGGAAGCCAACTGTTGATCCCAGTGTTGGCGCCGCAGTGTGTGACCCAGGCAAGGATGCTGTGGGCAGATCAGTTTTGGTAGTAGACTATGGGCTCAAATTGTGGTCATAAATATTTTGTACTTGTAAATCAGGATTTGTATGTGTAAAAAGAATTTGTGTTTGGTGTTTTGGAAATGACAGTCTTCACTACAAAGCTTTCTTCGCTATGAATTAGCATACATGTTTTTATTGAACATTTGAAGAACTAGCAAAAAAACCCACAGAGCTCAGCAGCCAGTGCAAGAAATTCTGGATCCTTTGGTTTTAGTTAGCATTAGCAGCACATCCTACGTCCGATGTGAAAGGACTTTTATGCTGACTCACAGCAATGGTCCCGGGTCAGCCCTGACTTTGTGTTAAACGAATCCTAAAGTAATAATGGTATTTCTAACCACTGATATACCACAACTTTATCCTTTTGACAGCTGCTGAAAGTTAGGGGACCTAGCTGCTGTCGGATATTTATATAGAGATCCTCCAGCTTCAAACTGTATTACCCTTCAAGGACCTGCAGTTCAAAAAAGACAGCCAAACCCATCTGTTCTCTGATTGGATTGTTACATTTGTGATTGACATGACATTGACCAATCAGATGAAAGAAAGAAAAATAGGGTCAAAATTCATACTTGTAACTTGCAGTTTTACGAGTTTTTTGGGGGGGGGGCTGAGTCCACACACAAATCTTTTTTACACACACAAATTCTTTTCACACATACAAATCCTGATTTACAAGTACAAAATATTTATGACCACAATTTGAGCTCATAGTAGACAACTCCAGAAGAGAAAATCACATCCTGTTTAAGGAGCCACCTCAGACTTATAATAATAATTCACAAACCAAAAGCTCAGTCTTGATGACCTGCTCTGACATTGGAAGGAAAGAAGGTGATGCTTTTGTTTGTTTGCTCACTGTGGAAACACACTTAAGTCATGACTCAGAAGGTTAGGCTTTGTTTTTAGCTTCCCCCCTCTTTTTTCTGAGCTGGAGCTTCTACTTCAACCTGTGGTGGAGATCCAGGCAGCTCATTCCTTCCTGCACCTGTTCTTAATGAAGGAACCCATATTTGAGGGGCCGACTGGAGCCACAGTCCTCTGCCAGATAATCCTCTCTGCTATGTCAACAGTCGACCCTGTCTTGTTTTTGTTTAACCTCAGTATATTATTGCCATTTTGGAAAATAAACCAGGTTTATGGTCAAGTAGAGGTGGCGCGTTTGCGGTCTGCTCCAGTCCGGGGATTGCCTGTCTGTCTGTAGTGAGCTCTGTTTTCAGAGTGACACAGTTTGTAAGGAATGTGGTTCAACAGTTTGTGGAAAAACTCTTGCTTGTGCCTTTAGTGAAAGTCATTTCGACAAAAGTGGAGCAGTTTCTAGACGTTGTTTTCACATCTTTATTTATGTACCAGACAGATGCCCTTTTTACGAAACATTGGTGGTAAATGTGGTAAGCATGCAGTGAGCTGTTCTGAAAAACAGGATCCATTGTGGTTGCAGTGTCATTCTCATGGTTCAAATGTGCTGCATGCAGATGAAACAGAAAATGTCAGTAAAATGTGTTTCTCCCTTTGAATTCATTTTTCCTCATGGGTGAAAACATTAAAGAAATCATACGTTACATTCATATGTGAATCCAGGAACTTGCTGTTTAAGTAATATTGTGAGGATTATTAATGTCTGATAACAAACAAAGTGTTTTATGAAGTTAATTTTATTTTCATGCAATACAATGTGATTTTTATGAGATATTCAGAATCTTTGATGCAGTTGTTAACATATATTATAAGCACATAAGCTGATAAAATCAGATATAGGAGTGTTAAGCTGCTCAAGGATTCCACCCCCATCAGACTGTTTTTCGTTAACTACACCCCCTGAGTCACTGTACACAAGCGCCCAGCCCCTGAACTCTTAAGAGTTTTTTTTTTTAAATCTCAGGCTGTTTCATTTCGTGGCTCCTTAATGTCTTGGATATTTATGCTGAATAAATGAGATAAGAGTGAAACTTTACAAGGAAGAAATGGTAAGACATGGATCATTTCTATACTGTAGCCTGTGGTTAAATATCATTAGTTTTGTTCATTCTGTTACCATTAACACAATAATAAAATTTCAATGACATATGACAGAAATTTACATAAATAAATGTAAATGTTAATTCAGTTAATTATGATATTAATTATAATGTTCATTTATTTTCATCTCTTATATGACTACTCCTGATTTCTGTGCAAAGAAATAAAAAGTATATCAACAAGAGTTTTGTTGTAGATATCATCCACGTGAAAGTTAACACTAAAAGAAAAAGGGAAAGATTTGTGCAGACAAGGGCAGACGATTATATATTTGATTTGATTTGATTAATATTTTCTTCAGTGCCACATGCCAACATAATGGAGCAGAGGTGTAATTTCCAGGGGGGTTAAACCCCCCCAATAATCAGACCCAACCAATATAACCCCCCCAGGAAAATTATGAATTATCTTGCATAAATAGGCTGTTGATTTTCTTTACTCGTTTCAGCTATTACCAGCAAAACAGTTGCATGTTTAATCATCTGGCAATTTAAAAATATTTATTTATTTATTTAGACAGAGATCTTGACCCCACCAATGTTCAGCACAAAGTTACGTGCCTTTTAGTGAAACTATATAAATTTGATACATCAAAGGCAAAAGAGAAAGTGTACTCATTTTGTTGCGCTGTGAATATTTTTTATATAAATGTAAGGGGAGTTAAAATGTCAGGATTTTTAGATGTTCGAACATTGTCTCAGATTTCAGCGTGCGAAAAAATGCTTTTCAAGTTGGTTGATGGACCATTTTTTAAGAATATGTGTATTAAGTATTGCTATATGAAGCAAACTGTCACGGGGTGCCGAGGCAGGCCGTGTGTGGATAGTAACGGACCCAAGATGCAGACTGCTTAAGTGGAGGGTGAGCTTTATTAACAACAGGTGAAGTACAACAAAAAGGGTGGCGAAAAACAGAACTGTAAAAAACTCTAAACTGGGAAAACTAAAACTAAACACAAAGCCAGAACACGAACGAAGGTATGTGTAGGTGCAGGGAGAATGATGCGGCCAGAATACACAGGAAAGCGGAGGGGAAATGACACAGACAAACCAGCAACGACTAAGACAGAAGACACGACTTAAAAACACTCAGAGAACACAGGGAGATTACACACAGGTGGGGGACACAGCTGGGAGTGAT